TGAAGAGAGGTAAAACTGCTGACTAGCACTGTACGTACTGCTGGAGGTGTGAGGTTTCTTACAGAACAAATGCAACAGCACCTCTCCTTGAGCAAAGGTGTTTGTAGGCTAAATGGAGACTCAGCTTAAATTTTGAACAGTTTCTGCTATAAACATGCTTCTTATAAGGCAAATAAAATCAGAAAATACTGCGCTGAGTAAAAAGAGCAAACTGCCGCGTGACTTCAGAGAGAAAAAGCTTATAATAATGTTACTGAGTTAACTGATATTCTCTCTGATAGCTCACATCCTGCTGGCCAAATAGTGAAATGATGTCATGTTTCAATGTAGGTTTGCTTACGTGTTATGTTTCTTCAAGTTGAACTGGAACTAATTTGCCTGTCGTTAAGAGCAGTGTGTAATACTTTGTGTGTGACTTGAGCTTTCCTGATGGCACCCACCACTCTGCATCTCCCATTGGGAGCCTGCTACAGCGTTACTCTTGAGAGTAACCTGTTGTTTAAACAAAGGCTACAGGACTGATAGAGTTTTTTGCTTGCCAGTATGAAGTAATCTGCTATTTATTTCAGAAGTTTATTATTTTAAGTGTAGAGCTCTGAAACTTTGTCAATCAGAGTCTTTCAATTGAATTCCATAGGTTTTATGACAAACTTGTAAATTAGTTTTAGCTGTTACACACTGTAAGAGAACTGGGGCATGATATGTGAATATCTATGTGACTAGAGCGTGCTGCGTTTATTACCAAACTCATTTTTTGTGGAGTAATTTATCAAGCTGAAAATGTGGCTTTTAATGTCAAAACAAGGAAACTACTAGAAACTCATGTTGTAGGGCTTTTGGCAGAAGTTTACGCTTACATATCCTTAACTTCGCTGACAAAACCAGTTTTGGTTTGAATGTTTTAGTATAAGGTGGATCATCCTTCCAGCAAAACTGCTGATATGTTAATGGGAAGACTGATGACTCTCCTTATAAAGAAACTTGCCTAGTTTCAAACAGTTACATGGATGT